GTGAAGTGGAGTATATAACGTAGGGACATTGGAATTTCGGTTATAGAAAATAGATCATTTTGTTGCACTGTGTTATCATTGGTCGAATGATCTAAGAATTCATTTGGTTCTCTCCCGACGATCCGGACAGATATCACGAGTGTTACCTTACCGAAAGATACCACATCTCATAATCACTACATGGCTTTGTTTCCCATAAAAAGCTCGCGCGCATATTACATCAAGGTGAGATTGTTGATGAATCAAAATTCAAAAGGTTCACTGAATTTAAAACGAAATCACTCTAATCCACAAAATGTAACTGTACAGCAACTTATCGTTATCAGAGTTTAACTTATGTATGACTAGTGTTCCATTATCGAAACAGCGGTCACGTGTCGGTTACTTTTAGCGTACTCATCAAGATCGACAACGCAGTGAGTTTTATCACGATTCCGCCTGACTCGTGGATTTCTACTATAGTATCGCAGCGTGCACACGGTTGGTCTGGGATGCCGATTCGGACATGCAGCGATGCCGTGAAACATCGACCTGTGTTTCAGAGACGTTTTTCGCAGAACCATTCCCACACACAGGTAACTATGAATTTAGCGTATCATATCCTACCCTTGTTATGCTTGCTTTTACTGCTCTACTGGATTTACACTACGGTGCTATAGTGAGAAGAATGTATTCTTCCGTTTTTTTGTTGTTAAACCCATGTGTTGAAGAAGTCCGAATATGCAGAGAACACTATGGTTACATGAAATAACTGACATGTTAGAGACAAACGACGATATCGATGCAAGCGCGATAGTCATGCAACCATATGAAAATGCTACATCACCTGTTTCCGACGAGGACTCCGAAGATGAGGAAGGTGGAACGATAAATAATCTGCCAGATTCTTTGCTGCGGGCGCCTGCTCATCTTGTTCAAGATGGTTCTGACTCTGACTCAGACCCGAATGATCCTTCCTATCAACCTGAAAATGACTATGAAGTTGCTTCTACCTCTACTGTGCAGTAACCTCCTCCAGCAAAGAGAAAAAAGCTGACTTGAATCCAAAGCACACAACTACAAATAATGAGCGTGAAAACACCAACAGAACATTTTTTAAATGACGAAGTTGTTGATCTTATTGTCACGTACTCTAGCTTGTATGCTTCTAGTAAGGGTGTAAGTCTTGGCTTGAGTCACGCTGAATCAAAATGTATTTTTGGAATTATTTTTTTGAGTGGCCCAGATGACGCATGTTTTGGGAGCAAAGAACAGATGCGCAAAATGAACTCGTCAGTGCCATGAGACGTGACCGCTTTGAAACTATAGTTCTAGTTTGCATGTTACTGACAATGCAAATTTAGACCCAATGGACAAGTTTGCAAAGCTACGATCTTTCATAACCAAACTAAATGAGAGATATTTGAGATTAGTTCCAAACGAAACCCGCTTCAGTTTTGACGAGTCCATGGTTCCTTACTTTGGTCGCCACGGGCGCAAACAATTTATTCCTAGAAAACCTATACGGTTTGGCTTCAAGTTTTGGTGTGAAGCAATACGTCTAGACTACATTTGTTGGTTCCAGCCATATTAGGGCAAGAATCAGAACACTAACTATGATTATTATGGTGTCGGTGCATCCGTTGTGCTTCAATTGGTTGAGGCACTTACAGAAGAGAATCTTGGACAAGGCCATTTTGTGGTCGATAATTTTTTACCAGCATTGCCCTACTTGGCAAACCCAGTTGAATGGGTCATCAGACAACAGGCAACGAATTGACAAGCCTCCATTGGAATCAGATAGCAAACTAAAGAAAAAGAAAGGCGCGTTCGATTACAGAATTGTTGGCAAAGGCAATAGTGTCAGCAGATGGCATGACAACAGTGTTGGGACTGATGCGTCCTTAGGAGCTGGTGTCAATCCTCTTGGTTTTGTCAAGCGTTATTCTCAGAAACAGAAAAAGATCCAAATTAAGCAGTCAAGCATCGTCAAATTGTACAAATCAGTTTATGGGAGGCGTGGACCGAGTTGATGAAAGTACGGACAAGTATAGAGCACCCATAGGTGGAAAGAAATGGCATTCAAGCCCTCTGTTGTTATGTTTTGAATTGGTCTTACAGAATGCTTGGCAACTGCATAAATTATATGATGCAACGCCAATGGATCTTTTGGAGTTTCGTGGCCGTGTAGCGTCTCATTATATGCAGACCCATGGCCGTGCTACGGAATGTGGCAGGAAGGGAAGGCCATCTCAGTAGCGCAAGAACGATACACGATTTGATGGCATGCTATTGTCAAGCAAAGAAAGCAAACACGCTGCGGTCCATGTCATAAGAACATTACGTTTCGATGTGAAAAATGTGACGTCGCCTTACATGTGAAGTGTTCAGTTGAATATCACACACAGTAGTAGTTACAAGCATATTCAGACAGAAAAACAGCATCTTATGTACTACGTTACAAAAAGGCAATTGTTTTGCCTAGTGATCCATTTTTAGAACGCCGCATTACTGAAAAAACTGGACAAAATAAAAAATCTTCGAATTTTCTTCTTTTAGATTAGTATACCTAATATGAATTTCATGCCAAAATGCACGATTTCCAACCTCCGGCATAAATGGGTTAAGCACGATCCTTGCCAATTCGAAACCCAGTATACGAGTTCAATGCATTTAGTTTTCTGCTGTTAAGCCTACTATGCAGCATATCAGTAGTGTGAAAAGATAACAAGCAAAAGTGGTGGATCCATGGTCCAAGCGCAGTCTCTCAGAGCTAACATGATAGGATTTGCATCCTCAAACAACTGCTGGAACGATGATCTTTGAAGGGGAAAATCATATTTCTGACTTGGTTTTAGAGCTTTTGTTACTGAAATACACATTGCTTAACAATGTGAAAACTACTAAGCAAGTTAAAGCTGCCACAAAGTTAGAAAATACCATGCCAGTATGGCCATGCTGTTACAGGATAGTCTCGCAAGATACAGTACCAATTGCTACCTCACACCGGCAACCCTAGTTTGTATGGACGTAGAAGCGCCTACCAAGGTCGAATTTGCATGATGTTAAGGTAGATGAGACCGAGAGTCGTCAACTTTCGAAGTACCGACCATGACGAGTTAGCCATGAACAAAGTGACGAATTTGGTGGTAGAGGTACACACACAATTATCCCAGTAGCACTAGTTTGGCCCTACACAAAGTGATGCACCACCGTCAAGCAGACACAAAAGAAAGCTATAAGAGAGGCATCAAAGCAACACGCGGCGAGGAGCAACACAGGAAGGTAGAAGAAGAAACCAAGTCCTGAGAGAAGCCGCGTTGAGAAGCAGCGGCAAAAGAGAAGCACCCATCAGAAATCGTGCAATGACTTTGAAGCACTAATAGTGGCTCGGAGAAAGGCAGTGGAGAAAATCTATATCCTGAGGATGCAAAATACATTCAATAGTGGGTGGCATTTCACATTAATAACTTAATGCTTAAAAGAGATAGAGAATAAAACCAGAGGAGGAAATGTAAAATGCTGTAGCCAGTGAACTGAATAATTGCATACACTAGTTGACATGGCTGGATACACCTGATGGCATGGCGAGTTTCTTTGTTTCTCCCCATCCCGCTTATTTTCCCCGTGAAATCACGATCTGCGTGTTTAGGTATAATATGTTACTAAACAGTTTGTTAACTGTTTTCGTAATCTATAATGTTTAGCATCTCGCTTTTTCATATATGTTATCTCTTTGTATTGCGGTCCAATAGTTGAAGTGTGTTTCTCACCTTCAGCTAATGTGAAATGAAAATGATGATGAGGAAACGAATATCAAGCATGCGTGGGTTCAGCACGGTGCCAACGGTGTGTGAAGCATCTACTGACATAATGGACCAACGGATGCTGGAGTACAACCAAGCACGCCACCGTATATTCAACGAATCGCCCGTGCAAAGGAGTAAGGTTCCGAGGTGCAAAAATGGTCGACAGATAAAACCTGGTCCAGTTCTATGAACCCCGTCGAATTTTCTGACAACTGCAAAGAATGATGCCCACGTAGATGATTTAAAAGACTATTGGATTAATGAGGAAGCTAGTTAGCATCCTCATAGATGGGACCAAGCAGATGTGTCATCAAAAATGTTGAAGCCAGTGATGGGTCGATCAGCGGATATCTCACGCAAACACAGCTGTTCATAAAGGACACGACAATTGGCCGGACATAGTTGTGTGGAACAGTTCACTCCCAAACATGTGATGGATGGATGTGACGGTGAAACAACTTCGAACGGCGCAAACATATACGTCGCGTGAAAATGGTGAGGTGGTCACTCCGCTCAGTGACCGGGATCGGGTTGGTTAATGGCATCAGGAAAATGAATTCACTGAGCAGCAAGTTTCAAGAGAGCATGGAAGTCCGCAATATACCTGAAGTCCATGTTTTCTCGAGTTAGTAAGGAGTCGTGTCCAGCTCATATGTTATCTCTGTTGTGCAGGGGCAAAAGCACGCTACTGCGCTTAAAGTGCAGCACTCCAAAGCTGATACCATAAGAATGAATTCAGGTTGGATAAGTATCACAAATGACTGAGGTTGGCAAAAGCCATCCGGTACAAGATTTGCACAGCTTGTCGATAGTTATCAAGACAGAACAACATATGGGGTGGGAGAGCGACACAAGATGCGACGCTGTCAAGAGACTGGAAATAAATCGTCTGAGGTGGATCACACCTCTCTGCAGAAGGAAGTTTAAACAAGTAAGTCAAATACAATGGAGCAGTAAACGGAATGGGATGGTGAAAGTTGCAATTCACCACAGCTAGACTCAGAAAGCGGTCACATGTTCAGAAAATCGCTGGACGGTAGTTTAATTCTCTCAGGAATCCTCAGCAGTCCGAGTTCTATCTGACCCATATTAAGCTACATTCCGCAAACCGTTACTAGTCTTTAGTTAACATCACTGGGCTACGAGGAAGAGCAATGACCGACATGACTAAATTACTAGATATGTTATAGGGCCCATCACTCTCCACTATCTTGCACGTTACTGCCGTGCAGAGAACAAGGTTGCTCCTCACCGAGCGATGATCTTGTCAAACTTAAGCCAACAATTAACTTATGTCACTGTAAGCAGTTTGGTCTGCGTACTGATTGCAAGAGAAAGCGGAAGGATTCGAAATGTGCAAGGTGGAATTCAGCAGAGTTAGACTTAGTCAGACAGATGTCACACATCTGGACTTGTGACCCGGGAATCGGGAGAGTGCAGCACCAACCGACTTCAATGTTTGTGCCCAAATGCACTGAAGCAAGGTTTTACATTAACCTCCTTTTCGTCGCTTCTAGCCCACACCTGTGCTCCCAAAGAGGGTACGTCGCAGGTATCAGCAGTACACCGGTACACAGTACCGACGCTTCGCTGTCGCGCAGCCACCAACAGTCGTGAATACGTCAAGGAAACTGCGAGTGTCACCTCGTTCCCAACGCAAGCGCAAACCCGCACCCTCGGATTACAAGACAGGATTGTGATCCTTTGAGCTACGGGCCGGGCACATTGTGGTAACTGCCCGGTAGGCATGCGAAGCACGTGCCTAAGCCAGCGAAGCTTCCGCAGTGAAATAATGCTGTCAGTCGGTCGGCGGTTTGACAGATTTGAAGACTCGACGACGAAACTTCTCGTTAATGATGTGACGCTGCCATCGAAAACCGGAAATGCTCCGGAGGCAGTAGGGATCGAGGACAGATAGTAGTTGGACATCACTCGTGCGAACGGGCAAAGTCGCATGGTCATACAACAGGAATAGAAGAAGTTGGCTCCGAAATAGATGGTAGACCATTATTAACGAATAGGGTTGGAAGGGACAGTCCTAATTCAAGTGAGCGGTAGCTATTCAGCAGTTTGTGCAGCAACGCATTTATGTCTCTGCTTAGTAACGTGGCATAGATACGACGACAGACAAGAGATGCTGGTCAGTTGGTTGCAGTACTTGGTCTTTGCGGTGCAGTAGCTCATTCCCGTTAGATGATGCAACACCGCAAAAAAGGTCAT